GGTATTTACAATTGCACAATATTAAATTCCTTTTGTTTTCTTTCTATTTAACCTTGTAGTTACTGTGTAAACAATGATCTCCTTACAAATGCCTAATCTCTCCAGAGTATTGCCTGTAGTAGTAGTAGTAGACAATTCCTATCATAAAAAAATTGTGAGTACCCAGAGGCAATATGCATGTGTCCATAAATTATACATATTCATACACATATTTATAAATTACATATATGTACTACCGCATTCATAATTATTTTCAGAGAAAAAGGTGAAATTTGAAAAGAATGAGAGATAAATGCCTTTTGACCCCAGAGTCCACAGGAAGCCACATATATTTATGGCTTTAGGAAGACCACTCCAACAGCCACATGGAGGATGGTTTGGAGAGGGGAGCCAGAGGATCAGCAAGGCCAAATTAAATAGTCTAGTCAAAAGGTGATGAATGCCTGGCACACAGCAGGTGCCTAATATATGTCCATTGACTGACCGACTGACAAAAGTAGGGGATTGCTGGGTCAATGGAAAGAAGGGATCACATGAGAAAGGATGATATGAATGTAAAAATGGCCCCCACGACAGAGATGGTGAAGCTGAATGACAGGAAAGATGGAAATGCCCTGGGCAATAATGAGAAGGTTAGGAAGAGGGGCGGGTGGGGGTGGGATGTCATAAAGTCTGTGGTCTTTCACAACCTACTCACCCCTGCTCATTCTGCCCTCCTCAAAATGAAAGGGAGGAGTGGGGGATCCCACACACCCTGCCAGTCACTGTCCTGGAACACATATCCTGCCCTCGAAGGTGACACACCCATCAGGTGACCTGGAGGCTAAGGGATGAGCAGGTGGGAAGATAGGTATTTGTATGGCTGCTGCTCTGGGCACCCAGCTAGTGCCCAGATTATAACTGCCCTAAAAGCAGGTTCTCAAAAGACTGGACTTATAGAGAAAAAATGCTCCAAGTGACTGATAAAAAGAAAAATGCAAAATCACATAACACTGAGGTTCTATCTCACACCCACGGGATCAGCAAAGATGGCAGGTAACAATTGTTGGAGGCGGTGGAGAACATCCAGGCCATTACCGGAGCTGGGAACTGGTCCAGGGCAATTTGGAACGAGGCTCCAAAAGTCACTTAACCTCTGACCCAGTGATATTACTATGAGGCATAATCCTCAAAAGGTCAAAAGGACCCATGTGTACAAAAATACTTATAGCAGGTCTTTCTGTGGTGGCAAAGAATTAAAAACTGAGGGAAACAGATCAACTGGAGAATGGCTGGACCAGTGATGGTCTATGAATGTGATGGAATACCATTGTGCCATGGGAAATGATGAAGGGTGTAGTTTCAGAGAAACTTGGGAAGACTGATATGAACTGATGCAGAGTGAAGGGGACAATTTGTGCAATATTAATAACACTATAAAAGATAGCCCCTGGGAAAGCCTACAGAACTCTGACCAATGCAAGAACCCATGAGGACTCTAGTCTCCTCCTCTCAGTGATGGGCTCAAATGGCTGGCATTTTCAGATATGCCCAATAAGCCACAAGACTGCTTCTGCTTGCTTATAGTCACTGGTGACAAGGGTGGGCTTGTTCTGGGGTTGGGGAATGAGGAAATGATAGTGCTACAAAAAAAAAAGAAGAAGAAACAGGGAAAAAAAGAGCATCAATAAAATATATTTTTTAAAAAAGACAGAGAAGTCCAGGAGGGGGCAGAGACGAGCAGGGCATGGTTGACACTATCACGTTAAGAAGGATGTATACGTTTTAAAAACCAAGTCGTAAACATGGTAGATTCAGTTACATAGGCAATCCTTTTTTTCCATCCTTTTAAAATAGAAATGTTTCTATGTTGATGACTGCCAAGTCCATAATCTTTAAATAAATAAAATAATTAACTAGGTAGAAGATAAAATGTCAGTACAAGTAAGAAATTTTAAATAACAAAAAAATTATTTTTTTAAAAAGTAGGCCAAACAGACCCCAAAGAGGTCAGAGACATCAAAGATAAAGGAACAGGATTCATATGTTCAAAAATAATTACAGCAGCACTTTTTGCTGTAACAAAGAAGTAGAAACAAACCACTTTTCTCTGGGGGATGGAATTCCACTGCCACAGAGTCCCATGAAAGGACTGGGTCTGAATCCAGGCACTGCCTTTTCTACCTTGCATGACCTTGGGTGAGTCATCTGCCCTCCTTATTTTAACAAGGGGGTTGGTCTAAATGATCTCTAGGGTCCTTTCTAGTCTTAAACCTATAATGTTACTATTTATGCCTTGCATTTTTCCGAGATGAACTCACAAAAGAAAGTCATGGGGGAAAAAGAAATACTGGCAAACTCAAGAGAAGACGCTGGCAAGCCACTCTGGGCTGAAATGAACACCAGTGGGGAGGAATTGTTTATATGTCAACTGTTTATATGAAGTCCTTAGTAGCTGAACTTTTCTTCCCAACCATTTTATTGTGAATTCTGCTCTTAAAAGAAGGGGAAATGAATGGAAAAAAAAAAGAAAAAAAAATTTCCCAGATTAAGAAGATTCAGAAACTCAAGTGCTCAACTTGTCTCTAGGAGAGACTTTACAGGCAGTGGTGACTCCTGAAAATAATATTCTAGCATCCCACCTCTTGACAAAAGAGGTGATAAACTCAGGGTACAGACTAAGAGAGTTTTTTTTTGATATGGCCACTGTGGGAACTGGTAATGAAATATTACTGGTCCATAAGAAATGTTAAAAAAAAAAAAGATGGATTCAGACTGTTACAGGGTTTTCATTTTCATTTTCCAACGGGACAGAGAAAATAGATTTTTGCTCATTGAAAAAAAATTAATGTTTTTAAAATGTTTTACAATAATGATTTAGCGGTACTTTTTGTAGTAGTAAAGAACTGATTCCCATAGGCTAAGAAATGGCTGAACAAGGGCTAACCAAACTGTGGATGAGTGGATGGGTGTGTGGGTGGGTGTGTATGGTGGGAAATTACTGCACAGCACAAAACAAGTATAAAGTACCCAAAGTAGCAAGGGAAGACTTCTGCAGGCAGAGCTAGGAAAAGATTACACAATGACAACCCTGTTAATAGAAAGAATAAAACAAAATTGAACCCTGGCTAATCTTACAGTGACCAAGAAGTCTGCCCCAAGAAAATGGACTCCCCTGCCTTCACTGCACAGGTAGGTGACCATGGCTGTGAAATACTACATATTCTGTCAGACCTGGCTGTTGCGTTGTTTAATTTTATTGAAATGCCTTTTTTTTTTTTGCTCTTTAAAATTTTTTTTTCTTGTAAGAAATGGTGCATGGAGTTGAGGGGGAAATGGATATAAGAGAAAATGAATGTTAAAAACATAAAAGATCATAAGAGAAGGGGGGCTAATAGAAGGGAGGGTGGATTAGGGAAGGTAGTGGTCAGAAGAAAAATACCTGAGGATGGACAGGGAAAAAGGAGAGAGTAGGATAAACGGGAAAGAGAGTGAGGAATAAGATAGAGGGAAATACATAGTAAAAATAACTAAAAAAAGTTTTACAGCAAGTTTCTCTGATAAAGGCCTCATTTCTCAAATATATAGAGAACTGAGTCAATTTTATAAAAATAAGAGCCTTTCTCCAATTGATAAGTAGTTAAAGGATAGGAACAGGCAGTTTCCAGATAAAGAAATCAAAGCTATATATAGTCATATGAAAAAATGATCAGAGAAATTCAAATTAAAACAACTCAGAGGTACCACTCATACGTATCAGAGTGGCTAATATACAGAAAAAGAAAATGACAAATGTTGGAGGGGATATAGGAAAACTGAGACACTAATGCACTGTAGGTGGAATTGTGAACTGATCCAACCATTCTGGAAAACAATATGGAACTATGCCTGAAGGGCTATAAAGCTGTGCATGTCCCAACTGACCCAGCAGTAGCATTACTAGGTCTATATCCCAAAGAGATCACAAAAAAGAGAAGGAAAAGGAAAAGGTTCTATACGTACAAAAATACTCATAGCAGCTCTTTTTGTGGTGGTAAAGAATTAACTGGAAATTGAGGCGATGCCCATCAGCTGGGGAATGGCTGAACAAGTTGTGGTACATGACTGTAATGGAATACTACTGTGGTATAAAAAACGATGAGCAGGATGCTCTCATTAAAAACCTGGAAAGACCTACATGAACTGATGCAAAGTGAAGTGAACAGAACCAGGAAAACACTGTACACAGTGAGTGCAACATTGTAACAATGATCAACCCTGAACAGCTTAGCTCTTCTCAGCAATACCACCATGCAAGACCATTCCAAAGGGCTCATGATGAGAAATGATACTCACCTCCAGAGAAAGAACTGATGTAGCCGAAATGCAGACCGAAGCATTCTTTAATTTATTTTTTCTTGGGGCTTTTTTCGTGTGTTTTCTTTCATAACATGCCTAATATGGAAATATGTTTTGCATGTCTACACATGTATGACCTATATCAAATTGCCTGCCTTCTCAATGAGGGGGAAGGGGAAGGAAGAAGAGAATTTGGAATTCAAAATTTTTTAAAAAATGTTAAAAACTGTTTTTACATGTAATTGGGCACAATAAAATTTTTTTTAAAAAGGATCAATAAAAATAATTTTTAAGTTGGAGGGGGGAGAAGATTGCTCCCATTTTTATACCATTTTCACTACAGCCCTATGAAATAGAGGTCATTAGCCCCTTTTTAGAAAAAAGGAAACCGAAGCTCAGAAAACTCAAGGTACTTGTCCAGGTCTCACAGCCTGCCAGAACTCTGCACTCCGTTGACCCCACTGAGCCACATGGCCACTCATGAGTAGAAGGAAGGCCCCCCGTTGCCTCACCTGGACAGTAGGTACCTATATCACAACACCATCGTGCTGATGCTCACAAAGGACAACAAAAACATTTTCAGAGCAGAGCTGCTGAGTGGCCTTCCTCCAGGTATAATTTTCCTCACGCGGCCTCTCCACGGCCCTCTTCCAGCTTGTAAGATGGCAAGATGTAAGACTTACTTGGTTAACTTGTGGCTTTTCATGGCAACGAGGAATTCCCTGAGGATCTCCGGGCTCTGGTGCCTGCAGGGCGTTTTGGACAGATACTTCATCGTCTGGAAGGAAGGAAGGAAAGAAAGAAGGGAGGCATGAAACAAGGGGCAGGGGCGGGGAGCACGGGAAGGACTCCACACTGGCCGGGCTGCTTCCTCAAGAGCGTCTGAATCAGCAGGTCCCACACCCTCGTCCAGCACACTCGCTGCCCCAACACTGGCGGGGCTGAGGACACGAGATGCAGAGGGCTGAAAAGAACCTCGCTGATGGAAACGGAAGGACTCGGCCAGAAGAGCCTAGCGCTGGAGAGGTGGAAGGGGCCGCAGGGGTCATCTGATCCAACCCCCTCATTTTATAAGGGCCAAAGGCACACAGAAAGCATTCCAGGCAGGATTTCAACTCAGATCTTCAGACATCAGAGTCAGTTCTCTTTCCACGGGTGCCACAATGTGCACACGGGGGTGAAAAGAACCTAAGAGATCATAGGGCTTGTGTTAAACACGAACAGACCGAAGCCCAGAGCAGGGGAAGAGTTTGGCCCAAGGTCACACAGGTGGAAAGTAGCAGAGCCGCATTCGAACCCAGGTCCTCTGGCCCCAAATGTCGATGACTATCTCTCCTACATCCATTATATTCCTCTCTGGGGTTAGGGTAGTTTTAAATGGCCTCCAATTTTATCTGTTTTATCCAATTTATGCAATTTACAGTCTTCAAGAGCTGCCCAGAGCAGGGGGTGCAGTGACTAGCTCAAGGTCACACAGCCAGCATGAGTCAGAGGCAGGATTTGAACCTGGGTCTTCCTGACTCTGAGGCCAGCAAATCTCTATCAGCACTGACACTCAAACACTGGACTCCTTCAAAACTAGAATCTGAGGAGGGGGAAGATGCCTATTTAGGCCAACAAGAGGCAGTGATTTCCTGCTCTGGAGCGGGAGGGGCTCTCTGCTCATTAATCGATCCAGACAACTTGGGACCTCCATAGACTGCCTGCTCCTTAAAGTCTGTGTGACCCTGGATTCATTACTAGACCTCTCTGGGCCTCATCACGAGATGCCTCCTCCTCCTTTGTAAGAGGCGAAAGCTCCTTTGAACCTGTCCAGAGGAAAACCTGGAGGGAGCAGGTCCCCTCACTCTCTCTGCTGGGGCCCCTGAGAAGTTCCTAGAAGGCAGGGACTGTCTCCCTGGGGTCTCACTTGTGGCAGAAGAAGACACTAAGCTGACCACTTCCCCACCAGTTAGGCCCAGGGAAGGCTCTGAGCCTCGGCCACGTTACAGGAAGGATGACCCCAGCTGAGGCTCTGGGGGCAGCCCAGCTCCCCTTCCTCTGTTGCCAGACCTTGAACATCTCCCTTTGGCTCCAGCTGTCACGAAAGCTGGTCTCTTTTCGTGATGAGAGCCTCAGTCAGTCTGCACCCTTGGCCTGCTCCCCAGAAGCCTGGTGGGGATAGGGAGAATGGAAGCGGAGGAGCAAGGATGAAGGCTATTTTATATACAACCCCCTACCTTTCCCCCACTCCAACTCAGCTGCCCCTCTCCCCTGCCTGCATCTTCTGTCCTTGAGGCTGCCCATCATTTTCCAACCCAGCTACCCCAACCTTGAGAACCAGAGGCCTGATCTCTTTACAACTTTTAACCTCGTCTCCTGCCAAAGCGAGGGAGCAGTCCAGGGAGGGAAATTTATTCCTTGGACTAGAGCCCACACAGATAAATGTGTGCAGATGGACAGCTTCAAAGAGGAACTCCCCACTGCACAGGGAAACATGCAGGGTCGGGAGGAAATCCCTTTACTGACACCCTCTCAACGAACCTCAAAATGGGGCACGGTGATGGAGAAGTCAGGGACAAGATGGTGCCCCAGACCCCCATTATTCTAGTCTCCAAGATTACCTGAACTGAACTGGAATGAGCATAAACAACGGGACGCTTGCAAACACAACTGAATAATGCAGACACATCTTACTGCGATTAATTGGCAAAACACGAGTAAACTAAATGAAGGCATGTCTCCTTCCACCATCTGGAAGACCGGGATCGGGAAAACCAAATGTTGAACCACATGTCCACACTGGATAAACTGCCTCCCCATTCACCCACCCTCTGTGCCTCAGTTTTTCTACTTTTAAAATGGGGCGGGGGGAAGAGAGGAAACACTTGCTACCTTAAGCACTCCGGTTCTCAAATGTCCCAACATCTCAGCATGTAAAGTGCTTCCAAGCCAGAGTGGCCGGAACCAGCTGTACCTACTGAGCTGATCGTTAGATTTTTAATGCAAGTGTTTATATCTCAGAAATTGGCAAATGCTACAAATTAGTTTCATTTATTGTTTTGATGGTCTAGACTGATGGATTTAGTATTTATCATGTAGATTAAATTTATAAGTGTGTTGTGGGTATAGTATTCTCCCTCTAGAGAGCCAGATGTTAAACATCTACAGGCCCACAGCTGCTTCACCCTCTTTTCTGCTACTGGCCTGGTCCCCAAATGCTTTCAGTCAGCCTCTGGAAGAAGAGTGGATACCCCAGCTTTCTTATTCCATTACACAAAGCAGTCATCTATACAACTGCACTCGAGGCCTCAAAACAGAAATATAAACAGAGAACAGCCAGATATTGACTTGTCCTCAAATGGTTTCTATGCCAAAAACATTAGGAGGAGGAAGTAAGCATTTATTAAGCACCCAATGTGTGCCAGGCACTGTACTATCTCGTTTGATCCCTGGGAGGTAGGTGCTGTCATTACCTCCATTTTACATTTGAGGAAACTGAGGCAGACAAAGGTTAAGTGACTTGTCCAGGAATAATAATATTAATAAGAATAGCTGGGGCAGCTAGGTAGCACAGCGGATAGAGCACCGGGCCTGAAGTCAGGAGGACCTGAGTTCAAATCCGGCCTCAGACCAAACACTTGACACTTACTAGCTGTGTGACCCTGGGCAAGTCATTTAACCCCAATTGCCTTAAAAAAAAAAAAGAATAGCTAACATTTATGTAGTGCTTACTACGTGCCAGGCACTGTGCTAAGTGCTTTATAGATATATCTCATTTGATTCTCACAACTCTGGGAGAGAGGTGCTCTTATCATGCCTGTTTTAGAGAGAAGGAAACTGAGGCTCAGACAGGCTAAGTGAACTGCCCAGGGTCACACAGCCAATAAATGTCCCAAGGGGGGATTTGAACTCATGCCTCCCTGACCCCAACTCGCCGACTCACCCAATTCCGGCTGCCTCAGATTCCTGACTTCTACCTTCCATCTCTGACTCTCAGCACGGGTAATGCTCACCTACTTTCTCTGCCTCACAGGAAGGGCCCCACTCATGACTGGAAGTGGGCAGTGGGGGAGGGCGAGGAGCAGGGACATGGGCAGGCCTCCCCAGAGGACAGCAGAAACACCTCCAACTGCAGCTTGTCTGGCTCCAGGTCAACCCAGGTGGCCATTGGGACCCTGGCCAGGAAGCAGCTGGACAGGGCTGGTGGAGGGGGGAGGGGAGGGAGAAAGGGAGGGGAAAGGAGGGGGAGGGGAAAGGGAGAGAGAGAGAGAGGAGAGGGGAAGGGGAAAGAGAAGGGAAGGGGGAGAAGGGGAGAGAGGAGAGGGGGAGGGGCAGACAGGCAGACAGAGACACATAAAGGGAAGAAGGGGAGGGCAGAGACAAAGAGCGCTTCACAACCTCACCTCGTACATGATTGTGTTCAGGTTCTGCTGACCCGAGCTGTGTTTGTTCTTCCCACTCTCTTTCCGCTGCTCTTTGAGGTCAGTAAGTAACTGGAATACCTGGATCAGGGAGGGGGAGAATAAAAAAGTTGTGATGAAGAAATCTGAGGCTTTAAACTAGAAATGATCTCCCCCTGCACCCCCCAAAAAAGAGGCACTGGGATTTAGCAGTGAGCGAGCTCAGAGAACCTCACCTTGATTCAGTCTTACTATATGTGTGACCTTGGGCAAAACAATCTCTCTGGGCCTCAGTTTCTTCATTAATAAAATGGGTAGGATGGACCTCTGGGGTCAGAGGACTGAGCAGTAGTGCTGAAGTCAGGAAGATCTGAGTTCAAATCTGGCCTCAGTTACTAGCTGTGTGACCCTGGGCAAATCACTTCACCCTGTCTGACTCGGTTTCTTTAACTGTAAAATGAGCTGGAGAAGGAAATGGCAAACTCACTGCAGTATCTCTGCCAAGAAAACCCAAGTGGGGTCATGGAGAGTTAAAGACAAAAATTTTTGTCATCATCATTGTTATTATTATATCTATGACTAAGGATCATGTCTGTCACATCCTCCTTTCACTTCCTGATTTCTCATCTGTAAAAAGAGAGATGTGGGCTGCATTGGTCCTATGCCAAGGAAATCACTGGCCGGGGTGTAAATCCAAAGCCAAGCTGAGTGATTCCTGCAGAAGAGGGAAGCCAGATTCTCTTGTGTAAGAAGAAAGCCTGCTACCGATAATGTGGAGGAAAAAACACTCAGAGAAACAGCATGTGGGCAGGTTGGCAAAAATGCTACAGAAACCCCCTGCCCCAATCCCACCCCTGCCCAGGGGGAATGTCCTTGTTTCTCCATAGTCAGGCAAAGTCAGTGCTGTCAAAGGGGGACATCTCACGAGCAAAGAACACAAAACTCTTTCCTGTTTTTGAAAAACCAAATGGCCACAGAGAACAGAGGACAGAGGAAGGGTCAAGGTCTCTGGCTGATGAGGACGTGGCCCCTGTCCATACTGGCTGCCTCAGCAGAGCTCACAGGAAGTGGGCTTGCGTGGGCAGTGAGCGACCTGCCCAAGGCTGGAGTCACATTGTCCCAATCACAGAGACACAGTGCTGGGGCGCCAGCGGGGTTGGCTGAAGGAGAGGTGGGTGGACCAGAAGGGCAGCCTCACCCGCCTTCCCACAGATCCCAAAGAAGTAACAGCTAAGTCCAAACAGACTGGGATGTGGCTGCCTTATTTCACTAGCTAAATATCCCCTCTCCCTCCCCACCCCCCAACCTAATAAATCCCAATACCTCTCATTCCCATATCTGATTTAAGATTTGTAAAGTGTTTTTAAAAATGTATTTAGTATTTTATTTTTCCCCAGTTACATATAAAAACAATTTTTAACATTCATTTTTAAAACTTGAGGGGTTTTTTTTCATCTTTATAAGGAAAATATTATGCTAACTGTGATTTTATGGATATGGCTTTATTTTTTGTGTAAATTTTAAAAATTTATTTCAAACTTAATTACAAAACGAGAAAAGAAAGAAAAGAAATATTACCATGTACATAGCAGAACGTGAGAGGATTCAATATAAAATAATAAATTTCGATTTCAAGAAAACCTATATAATAAATACAACACATTGTTTTCAAAGCTGCCCAGTCTTTCTTTGCTTCTTTGTGGGTTTTCTTTTATTGTCTGCTGTCCACTTCTCATTTTATTTTTCCTGCTCCTGACCCCCAACCCCCATCCTAAAGAAGGCTCCAATTAAGTATAGATACATATACCCATACATAGATATCTATAAACATACACATATACGTAAGCCCAGACTACACTTATTTTCTCCCATCATCTGTTTCTCTGGAGATGGTTGGCAGCTTCCTTCATAAGCCCAAGCCTTCCCATGTTTTTCTAAATCAACCAACTCATCATTTCCTATACCACGGCAATATTCAACCCAATCCCATCCTACCTGAGAGACTGTCTACCAAAGTTTTCCCCAACTTTCCCCATTCCTTCTTTTCTTGGCTCCACAGGTTTCATTTATACAAGAAAATTTTAATTTAAAGTAATCGAAATTATCCATTTTACACTTCAACAATGTCTCACCTTATTATATAGTTTAAGGTCTGATGCTGCTGAATCTACTTCCTTTATATCTTTTCTCTCTGGTTTCTATGAAGTTCCTGACCTTTTGTTCTTCCAAATGAACTTTGTTATTATTTTTTCTAACTCAATAAGAAATTTTTCAGTAATTTAATTGGGATGACATTGAATAACTAGATTAGTTGGGTAAAATTGTCATTTTTAAAATTAGCTTGGTGATACCTACCCAGGAACAATAAATATTACTTCAGTTATTTAGATCTGACTTTATTTGTATAAAAAGTGTTTCATATTTATGTTCATACAGTTCCTGAATCTGTTTTTGGCAAGTATAGGCTCAGGCATTTTATACTGCCTAGTTATTTTAAGTAGTCTTAAACAATATTAAGTAATACTGCTGATATATAGTATACTTCCTCTATTTTTCTCTTTTGATAAAATCTATTTTAACTACAACTTTGTCTGAGATCATGATTATTACCCCTGCTTTGTTTACATACTAAACTCTACTCCTGCCCTTCATTTTATCTTTCTGTGTTTCTCTATTTTTATAATGTTTCCTGAAAGCAACATACTGTTGAATTCAAAATTTTAATCTGCTATCCATTTCCGTTTTATGGGTAAATCCGTCCCATTCACATTCTAGCCTACAACTGCTTGTGTATTTTCCTCTTTCCTATTTTTCCTCCCTATCCTTCTCACCTACTGGATATGGCTTTCAATATTTTAATCACAGCACACCTCTGGGCCGAACCGTTGCAAGGATTATTGTCCCCATTTTGCAGAGATGGAAACCAAATCTAATTTAAGGGCCTTGTCTACGGTCACACGGCCAGTAAGTGTCCGAGGCAGGATCCAGACCCAAGTCTCTGGACTCTGAGCCAAGCGCAGGTTTTTCTGGACCATTCCTCCATCACAGAGCTGATCTCACCCCTTTCCTGCTCAAGCTCTGCGTCATCTCTAGATGGCCTAGAAGACCTTCGCCTCTAAATCCTCTGATCCCCACTGCTGTTGTCTGAAGGATTAGGGATTGGGCTGAATGACCTTCGAAGTCACTTCCATCTCTGAGGTTCTAAATGCAAACCCTTATGGGGTTCAGGAGGCACTTAGGGCCAGAAAGCTTGTCAGATAATCCAACCCAGAGCCAATTACCTCATAATTGCTGAGCAGAGCAGCATTGGCATCCTTCCTGCAAAGGAAGCAGAGAAATAAAAAACAGAGTCATAATCCCATCAAGAAAAATAAATGGTCCGACCTCCGGAGCAGGAGGCGGGGCTGCTACACGGCCGCTAAGGTCCTTTCCAATGCCAAAGCTAAGATCTGATGGAACCATGTCCTATTCCCTGACATGAAAGTGGAGGTCAGTGGGCAGAAATGAGAGTCCCCAGGTACCTGGGAGGGGCCTGGGCACAGGAGAGAAGAGAATTGGAACTAAACCAAAGTAGAGAGCAAAGAAGCCTTCAGGACTCAAGTGCAGAATGTTCCAGTACATGGCTCTGAAAAGTCAACCGGTCCAGTAGACACTGGCTAAGCACCTGCTCCCTCTACAACATGTCAGGCACTGTGCCAGATGTGGGGGGATTTACAACACATACACACACACACACACACACACACACACACACACACACACACACACAAAATGGAACAGCCCCTGCCTTCAAGGAGTTTTCAGTCTACAGAGGGGTGGAAGGGAATCCGGCGTCTACACGAGTAAGTAAAAAGGAGGTAGTTTGATGAGGGAGAAAACATTTTCTATTAGAGTGGCTTCGACTTCAGGCAAGATGGCGAGCCTTAAAGGAAGCTACAGATTCTAGGAGGCAGAGGTGAGAAGGCAGCACCTTCCAGGAAGAGATCACACCACCTAGGCAAAGACGCAGAGGCTGGAAATGGAATATCTTCTTACCTACAGATCGGCCAAAATGCATCTGATGCCAGCAACAGAGGCAGCACAGATGCTGCATCACAGCCTTCATCCCTCTGATGAGTACTTACCCCACAATAAATCAGTCAGTGGTTCGGCAGCTTTGGGGGTCATAGAAGGGCCCAAGCCTCTCCGCTCTTTAATCAAGACACACCAATTTAGGGGTGGCTAAGTGGCAGAGTGAATAGAGCACCGGCCCTGAAGTCAGGAGGACCTGAGTTCAAATCTGGCCTCAGACCAAATACTTGACACTTACTAGCTGTGTGACCCTGGGCAAATCACTTAATCCCGACTGCCTCACAAAAAACAAAAACACCAATTTAACAGACATAGTAAGAAGGTGGCACAGTGGACAGAGCCCTAGGGCTGGAGTCAGGGAGATTCATCTTCCTGAGTTCAAATGTGGCCTCAGACACTTACTAGCTGTGTGGCCCTGGATAAGCCACTTAACCCTGTTTGCCTTAGTTTCCTCATCTGTCAAAGGGATGAGCTGGAGAAGGAAATGGCAAACCACTCCAGTATCTCTGCCAAGAAAACCCCAAATGGGGTTGTGAAGAGTAGGACACGACTGAAATAACTACGCAACAACAAAGAAGGATACAAAAAACAGCAAAAGCCAGTCCCTATCCTCAAGCAGCTTACAATCTAATGGGGGAGACACCGTGCAAACAAATATATACAAAGTCAGCTGTATTCCAGAATAAGATGTAAGAAGACTGCAAAGTGAGGAGGGAGTTGGGTGATAAGCAAAGAGGTTGAGCTTGATGTGTGAATCCTGACTCTATCTCTTACTAGTTATACTTCCAGGTGTGAACGCTGACTCTCTCTCTTACTAGCTATACTTCTAGGTGTGAACACTGACTCTCTCTCTTACTAGCTATACTTCTAGGTGTGAACACTGACACTGTCTCTTACTAGCTATACTTCCAGGTGTGAACACTGACTCTGTCTCTTACTAGCTATACTTCCTTGGGCAAGTCTTTGGGGTTTCAGTTTCCTTGTCTCTAATCCAAGCAGAAGTGGGCAAGCTGTGCTCTGAGGCTGCCTCCAGCTCTATGCTCCAGAACACAGAGCAGGGACAGATTAGTGTGTCTGTAGGGAGGGGAAGAAGCAGAGGGCAGGGTCCAAGTGGAGCCTTCAGGGATCTGGATGCCCAAAGGAGAAAGTATGGAAAATTCAACACAGTCAAAGGAGAGAAAATGATGGCGGTATGTGGCTGGAAGAGACCAAGCTGACCCCTGAGAATCAGGGGAAAAGGAAGGCAGCCAGGGAAGACTGGGTCATATAGGAGAAGGCATACAGGGTACAGAGAGCTGGCCTCACAACCAGGAAGACCCTGGTTTGAGCCCTGCTTCTGGCATACACTTGCTGTGTGACTCTGTACAAAGTACTTAATCTTTCAGGATCTGGACGAATCTCTGACAGCCTAAGCTTCAGAGAAGGTGCCAACCTGCACTAGTGGAGGGACTTTCTTCACCTGGAGGTCCCCTAAACCAATGAAAGCAAAGGTCTAGTCTCTAAGTCTGTATTTTGTATGTATGTACATACAAATACATACTGTAGGATCATAGATTTATAGCTGGAAGGGACCAAAGAGACTGAGTCAAATTCTTCCTCATTTTATAGATAAGGAAACTGAGGCTCAGAAAGGTTAAATGACTTGTGGGAAGAAGTTTACGGTTTCACAGAATTAGAGCTGAAAGGGACCTAGGAGGCCACTAATCCAACCCCTTTCTGTTATAGATGAGGAAGCTGCGGGCCCGCAGAGCTCAAGTGACTTGTCTGAGACCATGCAGGTAGTTTGCTTCAGAACAGTGAGAGACAGAGGCTGCAAAGAGGCAAACTTAGGCTTTGAGCCAGAAAAATTTCCCCAACAATTAGAGCTCAATGGTGTCACGGATCACTCTTCCTTTGGCAAGCTAGGGGAGCCCATGGACCCTGTCTCAGAATAATGTTTTTTAAAGCATTCACATGGAAGGAAATGCTAAATATCAATTAGGGGTTAGTGAAAATAAAGATTTATTTTTTTTCCCATTCAAGTTCATGAGCCCCCAGAAATCTATCCACACACTCCTCAATAATAGCTATTAAAAAGTGGAAACTGCTTGCCTTCTCAATGAGGGGGGAGGGGAGGGAGGGAGAAAATTTGGAACTCAAAAAAATTTTTTTAAAAAGAATGTTAAAATTGTTTTTACATGTAATTGGGGGAAAATAAAATATTAATTAAAAAATAAATTAAAAATGGAATGAGTTTCCTTGGGAGAAAAGTGGGCTTTCTCCCACTGGAAGTCAGACTTGTTCTACATGTTAAAGAAGAAATTTGTTTTCAGGCGTATGTTATATGAGATGGTTCCTGAGCTTCCTTCCAACTCAGAAATTGTGTGATTCTATTCGTGTTGGGATTTCCTGAAATCCAAAGCTGGGAAATGTACAAGGCTGTCACACATGGGGGAGGGGGGGCATGGGGATAACATGTGGATGGTCTTCATGTTCCATCCATCAATATCCCCATCATCTCAAGAGGAAGTATGGAAGGTCCCTAGAATACAAGCCTTGAGGGCAGGGGCTGTTTTATTTTGGTTTTTGTGTTCCCAGAGCCCAACATAATTCCAGGTACAAAGATACCTGATAAAACTTGTGGACTGAGTGACTCCAAGATAATATTTGTTCTGACCAAATAAGCAGTGAACTGGACCACACATGGGTCTAGTGCTTGGCCTTGGGATTCAACATGGCCACAGTATGATCCAAAAATCTATACCAGACCCCACGGGTGCCCCACGGCCTTAGGACCCTAAGGACCAGTCATCATGGTAATACATCACTGCTTTAGCAAATCAAAAGGGAGACATAGAAAGAGCTACCCTCCCCTGCAAATGACCTCATCTCTGATTTATTCTATGAAGTAGATGAATTTCAAAAAAAAAAAACCACTAAAGGAAGAAAAAAGATCTAATTAGTGTCCAGAGTGTCCATCCATCCCAACCTGAAAACTGCTAACCTGATCCCATGGCTTCTTTGCTCATTAAATAATGTAATTCAATTTAATGAAAAGGCAGGGAGTCTTATGGACTGAGGACAGTCTGTGAGCCTTAAAATACTTCTAAATGGATGGCTCTGCTCTAAACTGGGCTTGGCTTGGCTCTCTTCTCCTAGAAACTTCCAGAGGAACAAAAAAAAATGTGTGTGTGTATCTATATATATACATACATACATACATACATGAATATTGTTCTTCATGGAAGAAACCACCACCCAGAATGGTGCAGCAAAAGGAGCAAAATAGATGGTATTATGGGAGGAGTCAGCTCTGAACACAGCCTCAGACACTTACTAACTGTGTGATCTTGGGCAAGTCACTTAACCTCCGTTTCCCTCAGTCTCCTCATCTGTAAAATGAGAATATTAGATTAGACGGTTTTGAAGGCCTTTCTAGCCCTAACTGAAGGAGGAGAAGAAGAAGGAGGAAGAGGAGGAGGAGCAGGAGGAAAAAAGAAGTAGTAGTAGTAGTCGTGTGGCACTTTGAGGTGTTAAAGCACATTTCATCTGATCCTCACAACAACCTGAGGAGGAAGATACTATAAATATCCCCACTTTACAGATGAAGGAAGAAACTGAGGCAGACAGAGATTCAGTGACTTGCCCTGGGTCACACGCTAATAAATGTCATAGGATTTGAACTCGGGGCTTTCTTACTCCAAGTCCAACGTTCTATCCACTGTGCTGCCCAAATCTATGATCTTAGAATGATTTTTTTTTTCCATTTCCCCTCTGACGACGTGCAGCTCTGGAAACGGGGGAATATTCACGTACGTTATGTCTTTTGGTTCTACATGTTACTGTTATCCCTATTTTTCAGATGAATAAACTGAGTCTTGCAAAGGTTAAATGGCTTGCCCGGAGCCACAGAGTGTCTGAGGCTGGATTCGAACCCAAACCTTCCAGACTGCAAGTCCGGCACTTCCCCACATGCCACCCTCTTGCCGTCCACACCAAGATCAATTCAACTGGATTCAGGAGGACTGCTACCTTTTCTGGATCTAATTAACAAGGAGCCAAAATTACCTTTTCATCCATTTCACCAAAGTGGGGGTTGGGGTGGGGACAAGGAGGTAGGAGCCTCGATGGGGGGGGGGGGCTCCGGGTGTTACTGGGTCACAAAGGATAGGTGGTCGGCTGCTCTGGTCAATAACCCTACGTATATCAGCACCAGGCCATAAACAAATACACACAAGAATAAACAAATGTAGTATTTATTAGGCTTG